GTCTTCGGGGAGCGAGGAGCATTACTCACACTTGGAGAAGGAAGCTGTGAGAAAGAAATCCAGCATGTTTTTCCACACTGCGGAGAATTCATATATGTTTTCTGTGACATTTTTCAGGCTTATCCAATTGTGTTGTTTGTGTTTGCTGCTTTTAACAGATGGGTGGTGATATGTGTCTTCTCTATGCAGCTTTGGTGACGAGTCTGAGGGTAAAACGCAGTTTGGCAAAGCATGAATAATTGATTTTGGAGACTTTTCCTGCTTGTTTGTTGAATCCTTTTTATTTGATTTCCAGACTTCACTGTGCAGTATTGCAGAGAGAGTTACGGCAGGACGTCATGCTCTGTTTGTAAAGAAAACAGCTTACAGTGTAGAGCAGTGTGTGATTGGCCTATCTGTCAGAAGAAAAGAGGATTAGAGGGACCTCCTATGTTTATGTGTGTGTCCCTGTCTGTGACAAACACACCTACCTGAGTTCACCCCGGCATGCAAATAGACACTAGATATTAAGATTGAGTGAGGAAAGAAAGCCGTGACTTCAAAGGTATTTTTAGTCCTGAGAGTCTCGCTGGTCAGGAAATTGCGGTTGGGGAGGGAATTAGACGCGTGCCAGGTTGCTAATAGGGATGAGACGAGCTCAGTCCTAATGGAAATTAAACTTCACTTGCAACTACAGCGTCACCTGGAAGCTCCCTCGCAAGGATACAGATGATACACATTCCTACCCATAACAAAAAAAAACAACTCCAATAAAGGTATGTAACTCTTTTTTTTCTTCTTGTCTTTTAGAGTAGTCACCGCCTCATTTCTACAAAGTAGATGGGATTATGGGTTAAAGCTCTCCTTCACGACGAGGGATAAAACAGCACATAAATGTCTCAGACGTATATTATGTCTTTGATGAATTGACTTTTTTTGAGTAATTGTGTAAACCTGCAACCCTTTATGTTAAGTAAGGTAATGTTAGTACTTAAAGAGATGGTTCAACAGTTATTTCTCTCTGCAGCAAAATAAATGCCTTTTGTTAAGTGTCCTTGCCCTTTACCCTGCTGAGTATTCAAATTTAATGAACACAGAGCAGTGTGTGTTATCTGGTTACCAGACTCGAGTTACATTGGACGAGCTCCACGGCACAAAAGCCTCTCACACAAACTAAATGTACACGAGAGAAGCTAACCAACATATAGACTCAGTGATGGACAAAAACTAAGTATTACTTAACGCCAGTTTAACTGGGTTTTTCTAGAGTATTCCTCTTTACACTACGTTATACTTCTATATCATGTTGTAATTTCTAATCCCACGACCTTTGACTGATCGCTGCTTAGAACTAGTGTTTCTAAATCGGGCTCCTCTTAATCTTTATATTTTGATCCATACCGGATTCTTCCCGTCTTACATTTCAGTTGTTTCATTTAAATAAATGTTCCAAGCCTAAAGTGTCCAAACCAAAATGATATCTCCTACCAGTTTTATCATCTCTGCCTTTTTAGTGTCTGAGTACTTTTTCTAGAATAAATTACTTTGATAGGTTACAAAAATCAGGTACTATAAGTCTATAACAGGAATATGCTTGAAGCGCCCTGACAGCATTCTACTAGTGAAAGTGTTTTGGGTACATTGTAAGCAGGTGTGTGTGTGTGTGTGTGTGTGGGTATAAACTGCTCAGTTGGCACTTGCCTCAGAGAAAGCTTGTCCTCAGGCCTGTGTGTGATGTGTGTTTACACCCATCTCTGTGACTGTCTGTCTGTCTGTCTTGGTGTATGTGTTTGCATTGCATGACTGGATGTTGCAGTCAGTGTGTTAATGTGACTGTGTGGGTGAGATACAGAGAGAGAGAGAGAGAGCATGCATGTACGGCTGCTTCCGCTTCACAGCGTAGAGACAATCAGGCCATGCTTCAGCGCTCAGTGCGAAGAAGAGGAGGAGCAGAGCAATGGCTACACTACCCTCGTTTATCACTGTAGACAGAGACCAAAAGTCACCTCTTCTTACACGAACACGTACACTGAGGTGAAGGGAAGGAAGTGGAGGAGAGAGATCCTTGGGCTGAAAAGAAGGTCATACTGTACAACTCTTAAAAAAAAAAGGCAAATCTGTACTGTACATAAAAAAGGAGATAGGTAGGGATGAAAAAGATGGATTTTTAAACGAGCAGAGAAATAAAACTAATGTAGTTATGAAGCTAATACTAAGCTAACAGGCCGCTATGTTTAGATTAACTTACAGAGAGGAAGTAGGGAAAACCGCAAACCTGACTCAGCCAAGCACCCATTAGGTTAACCATTTAACCGAACATTTTATATTTTGATGGTTTAACCTTTCATGGTGTCTTTTTATGTTGTTTAGCTGCTGTCCTCTCTCTCCCTGCCCCATCCTCCCTAGAGTCGATGCTCAAGCAGGAACCTTGAAAACTTTCTGCGTTCTAACCTTTCAATTTTTTTTTAAAGCAAGCAAGTTCACCACGTTTCTGATTGTGCAGGTGGTTAGAAAAATGCAGAGGCTTTTTAGGCCTGGTAGAATCAGTTATGTCTGAAACAGTATGTTTGCTGCAGCACCTGTTGGTTTACTGTTTGTCTGGCAAACTGAGGGGCGTCTGAGTCAGCCGTGTGCATGGGATGTCTTAAAACTAAAAACAGACCATTCCAGACCGGAAATCGAACTTAGAAGGAGGACATACTGGCTGCTTCATTGTTGTCAGAGAAGCCAGTATTTCAACATACCATGTTTCCTTAATGTCTGATCATATAGTAAGGTGACTTTATCATTTAATTGGTTAGATTTCCTAGACATTGGACCTATTATTTTCAGCATCTTGTTTACCATGTAGGCATAGAGTGGTACCAGATTATCTGATGTAACTCTTGGCAAGAAATGGATCATCTCCCTAAATGTCAGATCTTTTCTCTAAAAGATTACATTTACTTGTTGTGCATTCCATTATTTATTCATTGAAACCGTGCAATTTAGACTCACAAACACACATCAGCGAGGCACACAGGAAGCAGATTGGTATCTAACAGTCCCCTTGCAGGAGCTGTCATCACATATAATTGGGTTTAAATGATGACCTGTAGTGTCACGTGGTGCCTAATGCTTTTATTCAGAAGCTTTCATATGCGGTAAGGAATAAGAATGGGCTGTGTACTCCTTGATACAAATCCCCCAGTCCGCCTCTCCAGCCATACCAGTACTGAGAGAGCTGTGAACTGGGTGCATATAGGACACATCTGCCCCAAAGCTCCAAAGACAACACAGCAAATGAGCACACGCTGTCATATTGCAATACATCTGCTTGACATACAGCCGAGCAGACGTGTTTTAATATCCTACTCTCTTGGTCTGGTGACTGGTTGTGCATATGCAGAGTACAGTTTGTTTTGCATTTTCAGCATGTGGGCTGATGCAATGCAGCTTTAATGTTTCATTTTGTATTCAGGTTCATGTATTGGTGTGTGTGATGTTGTTTTGTTTAGAACATGCAGCATACTGCAGCCTCTGTCTTTTCATTAGTGAGCTTTTATATTACTCATTTCATCCTGTGCAGTCAGTGTTAACAACGCACATCGATTCTTCACAAGAGGAGGGCAGATAAAGAATTCATTGTGATTTATCTGGCTGCAGCCAACCTGATTCTCCCGCGTATTCCGCCAACCCTCAGATTCACATTATTTTAGGATGATAAAGATGAAGTTTAGATATGAAATGGAACATCCAACAACTGCCAGAGAAAAGAAACAACGCATTTGAGATATTATTCATGTCATGAGTCATCATGACGATCCTTGCAGATGCTTATCTGTGTTTCTTCACATTCTATAGTTGCAATCTCCCCTAAAGTTAAATCAGTGGCAAGCTGATGTATATGTGTTGCTGTGTGAATTGAATGGTAAATCCTGGATTAATAAAGATGCAAAAAAAAAGTTACCTTTAGTGGGCTACTTGGAAGATGAACATGATTTCTCTGATCCTGGATATCAAAGTACTGAGCAACTTTGTATGTAGGCTAGAGACAGAGAGGTGTGTTCATACAGTATAAATGAACTTCCAACAAGCCTAGCTGGAGCCCCAGATACTTGACCCACAAAAACAATATTTACAACTCTCTCCTTTGAATCGCTCTTTTTTGAAATACCCCAAATAAAACTGTAAGCTAATAAAGGACTTTCAAGAAAGCAGCATCAAAACCCCTTCACCTGACACCGTTGTTCACCATCGACTCTTTAAACAATCGTTTCAAAGAAACATAGAGCTGAGTTAGTCCCCTTTAAAAACATATTTTCCTCTGCTGATGTCTTCTGATCACCTGTCAGAGACTGGGCATGCGCAGTGAGTAGGAGCACAGAGAGGCTGCTGGAGAATCTCCGTCAATTTCACAGAGTTTTACGCAGAAAACGGAAGTAATGCAAGTCTGGTTGAAAAAGGACGCCTGGACAATGTGATACTCTAGGCCTGTGTGATATTTCGCCCAGTTTTGTTCTGTTTTAGTTAAGCCTTTAACAATTATTTCCACTCGTTTTGTCTTGCAACCCACATGGATTAACCTATCAAATCAATAAATAGCCTAGATAGTGTTGCAGGATAAGAGTATAGCAATGTCTGCTGTCTGGATTATATCCAATTTCTGCATCATTTGGGCTAATTACGGTGTATTTCTATGTATAAAAATAGAAACCTTATTATGTGCCAGTGTTTTATTTTTTTGACTGTACCGGAAACAGCCCTCTGTGACTGTGAGTAATAGTAAGACCGAGACCCCCTCACGGAAAACTGTGGTGTACAGCTGCAGAGATGCGCGACACAGAAAAACAAGAGGGACTAGGGAAATGGAGAGACAGCACCGGGAAGGGAAGTAACAACTGAACCTCCACCTTCTGAGATGCTCCGAGACACCGAGGGACACCGTGTTCGCTGCGCACTTCGGACGTAAAGCCGCAGAGGTCTCGGATCGTGCATTGATCCGAATACAAGGGGGGGACGGGGGACGGGAGGGGTCGATCATGGGGAACGAAGCGAGCCTGGAAGGAGGCGAAGGGCCGCCGTCTGGGCTGCCGGGGGGGCTGGCACCGGACGGGAAGGGCGGCTACGTGCGGGTCTCCGACGGGACTCCGGTCAACCTGGATGAACTCAGCGAGGAGCAGAAGAGGCAGCTCGCCGCCGCGATGTCAAGGGCGCAAGGCAGGCAGCCCGGAGGCGCAGCAGCTGCACGAAGGCAGGGCTATTTAACCAGCATTTTTTTTTTTTTTAATGTTCTGGTGCACTTAAAATACCCACACTAACCAAGCAGTGATACGTGAGAGAGGACAGGCTGGATGTGTTGTGGTTGTGTGAAGCAGCATTTGGAAATATGCTGTCAGGGAGCTCGTTCACGCCCATTTTAAATCCTGCCAACCGCACCAAGACGCGGTTCCATTCTTAGAGCTCTCTAATGGATTATCATTAATAAAAATCTGATGATCTGCATGACAGAAAAGAGATCGCAATCTTTTTAACGCAGCTCTAATATTAGCTGGGCGCGTTCAATTGATAAGCTGGAGCTTTGGGTCTGGTGTATCTTCAGTTTTTCACTGAAGCCTTATTTAACTGATGATTTTAAAGATGAAAACGAGCTTGATTTAGACGAATTGTTGGCCTCACTGTCCGTGGTTTGTCACAGTGTGTGATCAGAGCGTAAGAGACACACCTCCAGTATTTGTGTGATATTCGAAATGCCTTCTGGGTAAGAAAATCTGTCGAGCCAAATGTTTTTTTTTCCCCCTCTCTTTGAACGACGCCTTAACATCCAGTTTAATGTATGTGCCACCTTCATCACCTGTTTATCCATCTCTCTCTGTAATAAGGCTAATTCAACTTCAGAAATTCTCTTAAAAGAGGAACAGAGTCGGTGTGGGGAATAGGCTGTGTTATTGAGAGGGACGTAGAAGGCTGCCATTGGAAACAATATCTTACCCATTCAATAATGCTTTAGTTTTTAAAATGTCATTAATCAAAACGTTCCTCTAAATCTGATAGAACGCATGATGTGCCATGCTGCTAATTGGCACCATTTAGGGCGAATTGTTATTTATATCAGAGCCAGGGGAGGGGGAGGGGTGCATCAATATTAATATGACTAAAAATAGAACAGTGGCGTTAATGTCATCATACATAGACTTCCCTTCCATCTGCTTTCATTTTTTTTTATGTTAAAGTCGGGTTCCATCGTCTGTTGCTGTCATTGTCAGTGTAGTCGCTGTCCGTGGTGCTGAAATCGAGCTGCAGTGAAATGGCATCACACCACTACTACTTATAGTGCTTGCTGGTCTGTTATTACCCAGAATCAAATGTAAAAAATAATCATATGGAGTATTCATCACTGCATATAACTTAATTGCACTGTAATTAAAATGTATCTTAGACCAATATATCTGCTAGCTGCAATAACAAAACATCTTCCAATCAGCCCATTAGTGCATTTCCCTAAGGATCCCTTTGACTTTTTCCTGTATGTGTAGGTTGTGTTTGTAGCCCAAGCTAACAAAGATGTCTCAGCTTACCCCCGCTGAGCCGAGCATTTCCCCCTCTATCTCAATGATCTACACTCCATGTCATTCAATGGTATTCACTTTCCTGTCAGCTTCACCCGAGGGCTGCTGGCCACACATTTTGTGCTCACTGATGTGTTGAAAAGGGCCTGAGATTACAAAGCCTTAATGCCACGGTCTTTGCTTTTATTATTACCTCAATGATGCTACAGTAGTGCCAGAGGAGTATGTAAATATCTTGAGCAATAGCCACAAGACTGGAAAATGGCAAATGGATTGTATAATCTGCTGTACATATAAGAAATTCATAGACAACGTCAAATCATACCCACTTAAACATATAGTTTAAATCTAGTCATCTTAAATTGATAAACCCAGTGTTTACCATGATCATATTGGGCACTATCAGTAAAGTGTCTTGTTTATTTTTTAGAAAACATTAGTTTTTTGTTTGACTAGAGTCACCAGATTATGTAAATCTATTTATAAATCTACTTGTGTGTCATGAATATGATTTCTGTTAATTTGATATCATTGCAACCAAAGAAATTACTTTGACAAATTAAGGGATATGGTAGATAAAGAAGCTGACATACAATACATAGATATTTGGTCTTCAGATCTCTTACAGTTATAGTACGTCTGTTGTCTTTATCTTGCTTTTGGTCAGCTGACATTTTCTTGCATTCCAAAGTAAATACAGTTGAAAAATATTGATAACACTGGGGCTAACAAAAAGTGTCTGTTTTCTTTTTTTTTTTTTTTCCAGACCATCAGAATCTGATGCCCAGCGGAGTCCACAGCCGGTAGGGGCCTCCAGGGGCCCTTCAGGTCTCAGTAAGAGTCGCACTGTAGACGCCTTCAACCAGGGTCCAACCGGCAGGCCCACACCGGGCCGCAGCCCCTCCTCCCTTAGTCTCTTTGAATCCAGATTCCGGCAGGAGCCTAAAGACCAAGAGACCAAGTCCTCCGGCATGTTTGGGTCCAGCTTCCTAAGCGGGGCCAACCCCCTAAGTGCTGTTTCCTCGATGACCTCCTCAGTCTCCTCCTCCATTACCTCAATGGGAGACTCCGTCAACATGCCCAAATTTGGACTGTTTGGGGATGAAGAGGAGGGAGGAGCACCTGCAGCCCCAGAGTCCAAGCAGGGAGGTCCAGGCAAGGGCCCTCAGCAAGGTCCAGGACCAAAGGGACCACAACAAGGACCACCTCAGAAACAGGGTCAGGGACCTCCTGGACAAGGGCCAAAGCCAGGACAAGGGCCTCCTGGGCAGGGACCCAGGCAAGGGCAGGGTCCTCCTGGCCAAGGGCCCCCAGGACAAGGACCCAAGCAAGGTCAGGGTCCTCCTGGCCAAGGGCCCCCAGGACAAGGACCCAAGCAAGGTCAGGGTCCTCCTGGGCAAGGGCCCCCAGGACAAGGACCCAAGCAAGGTCAGGGTCCTCCTGGGCAAAGGCCACCTGGACAGGCACCTCGGCAAGGTCAGGGTCCACCAGGCCAGGGACCGCCTAGTCAAGGGCCTCCTGGGCAGGGAACCAGGCAAGGTCAGGGTCCTCCTGGCCAAGGGCCCCCAGGACAAGGACCCAAGCAAGGTCAGGGACCACCAGGCCAGGGTCCTCCTGGACAGGGGCCCAGGCAAGGTCAGGGACCCCCAGGCCAAGGACCACCAGGTCAAGACAAACAGGGTGGACCTCCCCAGCAAAAAGGTGGACCCCCTCAACAAGGACCTGGACCTAAACAAGGGCCACCAGGGGCTCAACCTGGTGAGCCAGCTAAGAATGGAGGGCCTCCTGGGCCTGGAAAGCCTGGAGGTGGTCTCTGTCCGCTGTGTAAGACCACGCAGCTGAACACTGGGTCCAAGGATCCTCCAAATTACAGTAACTGCACGGAGTGTAAGAACCAGGTCTGCAGCCTGTGCGGGTTCAGCCCCCCAGACTCAGCGGTAAGATGATGATTCATTTTGTTATTTTTCACAAATTTAGTCACACTTCATCATTGTTTCTACAAGGTTGTGTAATGAATCACAATCAAGTCAGAACTTTTTATAAAGCTGTCAGTTTTTAAGTAACAAATATCCAATGGTCAAATGAAATTGCAGTCCGTTACGGGGTATAGTCTCATTTATCCAATAACACACAAGGCAGTACATCTCCAAGTCAGATGTAACCAGAATGGTGGTTTGCTGAGATTACATTACACTGCAAGAAAGAATCCTTCAAGCACTTCAAATAAAAAAATGGGTTCTATAAAAGATAGATTAATCAAGATCACAACATAACTTTTTGATTCATGTGAATGGAAATGTTTATCTGAATATGAATGAAGATTGAAATGTTTCAATTTGTTTAAAAAAAAGTGATATCAGAAAAAAAATAAGAATAATTTGAGCATGAATTCATCATATCCTGCCAGCAGCATATTGCTGTTCCCTGTAGCTGGCAGAAGGGGTAGATCTCCTAAGATTGGCATATGATTTGAGGAACAGAGGGACCATATGGACCTGGGGAATGTGGTGATCAAGGTGACTCATGTCATGGCCACAGGAAGATACTGTGCCAGCCAGTGAGGACACCATGTCACACATGGACCATAAACGCTGGTGGGCCTCTACAGCACAGCAGAGTGACTGCTTCCTTCTGCTTGAGCTTCTTTTTGGGATTTGTAACTATGCCGATCAAAGTAAAGGGTCAGTTTTCACCAGATTGATACTTTCTAGGACTAAATATCCTTTAATTTTGTATTCATAATTACACCACTTCAACTTAAAAGCTGTTCCTGTATGAGTAACTACTATTCTAATGTTAGTTCTGGTTGAATGAATCAACCTTATCTCATCCAGTCTATGCAATGAGTCCCATTAGACACAAAAATACACTCATTGTTCTGCTCCAGATAGTGATCAAATTGTCAACATTGACCCTTTTAAACACTGTTGTTTGCACACATTGGAAACCAAGGCTATAACCAATACACAGAGACCACTGTTGTGTAGCTACGCATTATGGTAACAGCATTAAACAGCATTAACAGTCATATTATAGCTTTTCTTCTAACTGGCATGTTTAAAATATTCTTTTGGCTCACAGTGTCTGTGTAAATACTGTTATAAATTAAAATGTTATACATTTTTAATGCTAAAAGTAACAAAAATGCTGTTGTAATCATCATACAGCTGTCCTGCTGCCTTTTTTGACTAATGAGGATTTTGCCAGATTTTAATTTCTTTAATGTTATAAGAGGCGATTTGGTTTGGTAGAACAGAATTCAGCTCATTTGAAACGCCCATTCATGTAGATGTCTGTAAATTTGTCTGTATTTACGCTAAACAAATAAACTATAGAGCTTATTGTAGGGGTTTGATTGGTTCTGGCTGGCTGTGTTTATACTGTAATTACACATCCCATTGATGTCTGCTCATAACAGTCTGGAAATGTGTCCCAGTCAAACCTAACCCATCTCCTGTTTCATGCACAGGGTAAAGAGTGGCTGTGTCTGAACTGCCAGATGCAGCGAGCGATGGGAGGTATGGATCCCCCCGGCATGACAAAACCCAAACAAGGCTCAGCCCCACCCTCCCCCCAGAGACAAGCACCCGGTAAGCCTGGCAAGCTCCTGATAAAGCAGCAAAGTACCACCGACCAAGGGTTGACACCGCCAACAACACCGAGGCAGAAATCTCCAGGTCCATCTTCTCCTGTACCTTCTTCCCCAGGCTCCTCAATGGGAGGATCCCCAAAGATCGACCCCAAGACCGGTCGCCCCATCCAGCAGAAGTCCACTCCCCAGCAGTCTCCAGCTAAAGCAAAACAGGAATCTAGTTTCTTTGGGGGGTTAGGGGGTATCAGTCTGGGAGGTTTAACAGACGTAGCCAAACCTCCTGCAGCTGCATCCCAAGCTGCCGGAGGGTTCTTTGGCGGATTTGGCGGTTTGATGGAATCGTCAAAACCTCAAGCACCGGCAGCATCAAAGCAGGAGGACTCAGTTGCTGGGAAGTTGTTTGGAGGTTTTGGAGGGTTAACAGAGTCCGCAAAACCTCCCGCTGCAGCTTCTCAAATGTTCAGCTTCGGATCATCGCTCTTGAGTTCAGCCACTAATATTGTCACCGGCGAGGATGACAAGGCAGCAGGGGCTCCTCCTGGGTCGCCCCCAGACTCCCCCGTTGACTCCGGACCAGGTTCCCCTCCGGATTCGCCGTTCTCTCCTCCGGGGTCTCCTCCTGATTCAGACTCTGCTCCTGACACCCCACCAGCCTGGTCCAAGAAACCTCCCAGAACTCTTTCTGTGGAGAAGAAAGACAAGGAACCAGCATCCAAACCTTCACCTGCTCCTGCACCAGCCTCAACCACCAAGGAAAGCTGCCCTCTCTGTAATGTGGATCTGAACGTCGGTTCAGCAGACACACCCAACTTCAGCCTTTGCACCGAGTGCAAGAAGAAGGTCTGCAACCTGTGTGGATTTAACCCAACTCCCCATTTAGGAGAGGTAAGACACTGTTACTGCAGTTATCTTTAGCTTCATAGCTTCCTGTGCTTTGGGTACACTGCACCTCCCAGTAATATATGCATTTCTGTCGCTTATAAATAGAGCCCAAACCTCCTCTAGATGTTTCATTGAAATAGGTCACAGTGAAGTGATACCATCAGCAGTGCCATTTCTTAGCTCTGTTTTCCCCACAAGCATCCAGCAGAGTACCATTAAACGAAGATTAACGTTCTGAGTTGTACTTAGTACATTACTCTGCATTACTCAAATAGACGCTGTAAAGACATCTGCACATGTTTGACCACTGAATGAATGGATGTGGTCAATTTAAGCTGTGTTTTAAAATGCCAGTCTCAGTACTATCAGGCTTTCTCTAGTAGAGAGGGCAGCCAGAAATGTCAAAATGAATAGGGGTTGTTTAAACTGGACGTCTCATCATTGAAGAGCACTTCAAACAATTGACACTTGACTCTGACACTTGATAGTCTGCATGGGGTTTGCTTGTGTGTGTACTTGTTGGGTTTATGTGAAGAATACACACATTTCTTTAGATTAACTATTCTTTTGTTGCATCATTGTATTTTGTGGAATGTGTGTTTGCTTGTGTGTTTGTATCAATGAGAGTTTCTCCATTCACAGTCTTATCTTGCCTACCAAAGGTTGTGGAAATCAAACACCTTTGGCCTGCTTTTCTCTTAAGTTGTGGCGACTAGTTTCTGGCGCTGCTGTGGTATCTCATTTAGTAGAATCCTCAGAGGACTGTGTTCAGATCCACAGAACAGACACTACACTATGGTGTAGAATCAGTATATTTAGGGGAGTGGGCCAAAAAGTTATTCTTAGCATGCAGGCAAATCATGTTGACATATACTTCCTCCACGTAATTTAACGGATCCTAGTTGTTGTTTATGTGCCTCTCTTTGTCAATTCAGTCTTGTAATTTCTTTGAAAATGAAATCCATGCGTGGTTAAATTGAATTGACACTCATAGTTTGATGTTTGATTCTATCCCCTAAGCACTCGGAGCACGTTTATCACCTTGTCGTCTGTATAGGCTTCACGTGTTAGCTACTTTGTTAGCTGCTGGTTTTAGTGTGTCTTAAGTTATTTGCTGTGTATTTCTGGCTCACTAAGGAGCCCTCTCTAACAGCTAGTGGAACTAAGCTGAGATCTATGCACAGGAAATGTAAAAGATCTCATGTGAAAATCCACGGTTATTTTGTAAAGTTTTTGTAGTTGCATTTTTGATAGCCAAAACTAGTTTTCAAGATGGCGGCCGTTTGTTTACAATTTTTTTTTTACAGTAGATTAACACTCAATTTATTTGACCATTTATGTCTCTATGCAGTGTTAATTGAAGAAAAGCATGGAAACAATGAAATTTGCTATAAAAGAAAGAAATTGAGGCCACAAATACCCGAACAGAATAGATGAGTCTCATAAACATCAGTTTGTCTTTACGCCAAAATAGTCAGCTCAGTTTTGACTTAAAGAATGATTCAGCTCAAATTGAGTACAAAAGAGGATGAATCATATTTGACTCATCGTGTACTGAATACAAATAAATGATGGATTTGCTCTTGAACATAAGTTACATCTTGCACATACCTTGTTGAATAAGGCTGTAGAAGAGACACATACACAACACCTCGGCTGAGTCATCTACCCCCCACTTACTGTGCCTCATGTCTGTGTCATTCGCTGTCAGAATGTCGACTGTCAGTGGGGGGTTCACTTGCTGACGTATGAGAGTGGGTCAGAGTGTGTGTACCTGGGGAATGTGTGTGTGAAGGGGCTGAACAGCATGTTTTATTTGCAAGACTACTGAATAAGTAAGACCACTGGTGTAAACTTTTATTCTGAAGGGCTGTTGCTTGTTTCAATAACTATAATGCCTTTGATCATACAGATAGATACAGTATAGATAGATAGATTGATATATTTTGGATTAAGCTTCAGTACTGCTTGTCTTTCCGTTTTAATACATGATGATGAGAGTGTTTGCACACTGTATCACCACGTGTGTGAAAGTAGACGTAATCTCTCCTTCCTAAAAGGATTAAAAGGCCAACAGGAAGCGTGTCATTTCATTCTAGACCTGATCCTGGATTCAGGTGTCTCAGGTGACTCAAATGCATACATTCATGGTTTTCTCTTTCTTTCTCCTGTCTGGCACAGCCCTTCATGTTTTGCCCCTTTTCCAGAATGTCCTCCATATCATTATTACCCTCTGTTTTATGTCGCCTTCTTCTGTATCCTTTAATCTGTTTCCATCTTCATAAGGCCCAGAGGAGACTCACTTGATGCTGCTGTTTTTTTGGTGCTTATCCTGCTTTTAAACACAGTCTTTTCTCTGTGTCAGACTCTCCCTCAGTGGTGCCATCCCTTTGCTTTTCTCAGTGTCGTTCCCCCTTTGATGTAGGAAAAAGTCTGTAAATGTGTGTCTGTGTTTAGTGCTGCTCAGCGATGTTACTGAAGCTCAGGCTCCATGCCATGTTGGCCTTATCTGTAATGAGTGTGCTCATCGGAGAAGTCTTACGTAAAATGGGCGAAGCACCTCTTTCCTAACAAGCACGACTCACAGAATCCAAGTTAAGAGAGGAAGCTGCAATATACATCCTATACAACTTCTAGTGTCAAAACTAGCTAAATCGCATCTTTCTTTCAAAGACCTCTTTCAAAGAGTCACAGCAGAGGTTTTCATCCAACATGGTAACATTGTATGTCTTGAAATATGGATCAGCATAATATATCTCCTTTAGGTTGAGGTGTATATCCCTTCATAGTCCTTCCACCTGCCAAAGGCATACAGCTGCAAACGGTTATTTGTGCAGCCATGGTATCGTCGGTAGGCCCATGTTCTGCACACTCTCTCGTCTGTGAGCTCGATATGCTTACACATGCTCACTTCATGGTGTTTCCTGTGTCCTCCTCCCTCATTGTTATTCTGTGGTTGTGCCCACAGAATAACAATACCTACCAGCAGTCTGAACCCTCCAGAGTCTGCACTGGCAGATAAAGGCCTCCTCTGTGGTCATTTTTACATTACACACATGTACACATGCATGCAGAATACAGAAACAGCCTGTGGTATAATCTGCCTGGCAAAAGATTTAGCCTTATATTTCAAATATAAGGCTAGTAAATTTGTTAGTCAGATTTGAGTTGTTGTCTTTATATAACTATTTGCATCTTGCACTCAGTTGTGTTTTTATCGTTGTTTGATGCTTGTTTGTGTATCTCAGGTTAGTCTGTTTTGGGCCCATGCAATCCTGTTGCCTCAAAGCTTCGCCGTCACTCGCCCAGGAGGCTGAAGTGTATAAAAATAGTCACATGCACAAAGAGGAGAGCACAAGCTACTGCAGGGCAGCTCTCACTCCCTCTCTCCCTCTCTCTCCCTCCCTTTCCAGTGCCTTTTGTCTTCTGTCTTTCATATTTCCTGCTTTTTTAAAAAAAGGGTCTTCCTAATGCATTAGGCAACCCACAGAGTCCCCCCCCCCCCCCCACCCCCACGGCCACCTTGGAAGGCTTGAAATGGATGCTATTTTTAGACATTTAGGTGTTGTTGAGTGGGTGCTTGGTCCCTCTGTTTGTGTATTGTTGTTGATTTAGCAGGGTAAATGCTTGAACATAAATAGGAACAAAGCGTTCCTTTAATACTCTTTATTTTCTTTGCCTTAGTAATTGTACACACAAGCTGAAGGATTACTATTTTGTTTGTAGGTCCTGGACCTTGCTCAAGCTTTGGCAAGCACTTTATCTTTGTTTAAGAAATTGTTAGGATTGAAATGAGCTGTCCTCAGGCTCTGTCTTGTCTCTTCCTTTTTACACAGCTCGCCCTCCGGCTCCACTCCAGAATGATTTCCAATTATCCCCTTTCTAATTTACTGGTGCTCACATGCTTAGCAAGGGCCACATTTTAGCCACAGAGCCAAGTCAGTGCCCAGAAGGGTTAGAGGGAGAAAGCCAAGAGCATTATGTGTGCCAGCTCTCAGGCCTGGTGAGACAGAGAGGCAAGGACACACAGACACTTGAGAACACACTCATTCTGGCACAGGCCTCATCTAGTTAACACAGGCTGTTGTATTTACATCCAGACTGTCGCTGCTGTCTCTCCTGTTTGAAACACGCTTTACTGCACTGACAGGAGAGTCAATGATGTGAGTTGAAAAAGCAAGTCTGAGTGTCTGACTCCTATTTCCTCTCCAAAAATTGATATCCGATAGGTGAGGCAAACAGTAGAGACAGGATTGGAAATCATTTCACCTCTAAAAATAATTTTTGTGCATTAAGAATCCTTAGAGGAAAGCAGATTGGTTTTTTTTAAGTAGTTCCTTTCATCTTTATGGGGAAATATAGAAAGTGATAAAGGGAGTGCAGCTGGAAGGCAGCTTCTGAAAACATGTAGAAAACATCATAATCACACATACCCCTTTTTATTCATACATTTACACAGAAAAAGGACACATATTTCTGTCCTATGACAATGTAGAAGAACAACTCTAAAGACCTGTGAATTGAGAAACAAACACACACACAGATCCCCTGTGAATGTGGCGTGCAGGAGGACAGGCTCATAACAGAAGAGAGAAAATCCTCTGACAGAAAAAACGGAGTCCAACAAGGGAGTCGAGAGGAGGGAGGGGGGGGGGGGGTGTCACAAAGGATATGGGTGCCAGCCTGTGCTGCCCTAAGCAGCGCAGACTATGACAACCTGACTGTTGGGGTTTGTCTTAGCACTTGTGACTCACGCCTCTGAGTCACATTAACAGCACCTATAGGCACAGTTTATTTGTCAGGCGGAGACATCGGATGAAGCAACAATTTTAAACACATACACGATTTGGTGAGAGTGCATTTCAACTCAGCATATGGAGCTCTCCACTCCACACGACTGTGTTGGTTTTTGAAGCGTCTTTGAGGCTGAAATGTAACCGCTTATTTCACAGAGTAGTGATGCTCCTTGTTGATGCTAGACGAGTATTTCTCACTTTTCTCAC